GGAACGCACAGATCTGCCCTCACAGAGGAGAGAGAGCTTGTACCTGAAGGCGGGCCGGGGGGGGGGGCTCTGCAACTTACCTGGCTGCTTCTTGCTCCTTGTGGCCCAACTGAGGGCTGCTGGGAGCAGGGGGCGGGGCTTGTTGCATGTGCCCGCCCCCTGGGCTCCTTACTGCCGGAGCTCCGCTCCTGTGTGCTCCCACAGGAAATGACCCCTGGCTCTATGGCATTATACCCTGCTGAGGTCCCTCCCCTCTCCAAACCTTGCTAGGGTTGACTGGTCCCCCCTGGCCACCAGGGAGATGGCGGTGGGTAGGGTTGCCATCTCCAGGTTGGGAAATGCCTGGAGATTTGGGGGTGGAGCCTGGGGAGGACAGGGACCTCAGTGGGGCACAGCGCCACAGAGCCCACCCCTCCGAAGCATCCGTTTTCTCCAGGGGAACTGATCTCTGTCGTCTGGAGAGGAGCTGTAATTCCGGGGGATCCCCAGGTCCCACCTGGAGGCTGGCATCCCTACCCGGAGTGGGCAAACCTATACAGGAAGGCTCCATTCTGCCCTTGGAAGATTCGGTCTGGATCCAGCCCAGCGCTTTGCAGGTCAGCTGCATCCAGAGCTCCCTCTAAGCTGTGGAGTCTTGTGAGCAAACATTCTACTTTGTGAGCGACTGGCATTAAAGTTGTGAGCGAGCGATTTGGCGGCTGCGTAAATTAGTTGGCTCCGGAGCCATCCTTCCCGAGCCAGGATAGAAATGTGTGAGCCAGAGGCTAAAAAACTATGAGCTAGCTCACACTAACTCAGCTTAGAGGGAACACGGTGTGCAGCTTTGCCTGTAAGAGGGCCATTTGGTGCGGCCGCCACCCTTGGGGAGATTTCAGGTGTGTTTTGAGCTTCCTTTCACCTTGACAAAGCTGCCTTCTTTTCGGCAGGTGTAGGAGTGGGGGGGCCTTTCTGCTTTCTTTTTAAAAAAGCTGGAGGTTGATCTCTGTCTTCGGCAGTTGGGCGGAGGATGTTAATAAAGGGGAATTAGCTATACTTCCCTTTTTGGCTTCTTTGAAATTGACGTTCACTTTCTTAATGGTATAATTCGAGTCTGGCTTTTGGGAAAGGCGCTGAATCAAATGCCCCCCTCCTGCTCCTCTTGAAATTAACTTTCCTGAGAAATTTCTCCTGCCATTGGCAAATCCTCCGCGTTTGCAAATCTTCATGTGGGTCTCTACTGATCGTTTCTCAATAGCTCCATTACGCCATATAAACGATTTTTAAAAAAATCTTTTCTTGGCAGTTTTATCTGCGGTGCTTCAAGGCCATTAAACCCAGCGTTCCTGTCCGTCAGGGCGATTTCTTGTTCGTTTCCACAGGCTTGGAATTTTCACCCCACCCCCCATCCTGAAAGGCTGGTATTGCACTGGCTGCTCTCTCTGTGTGTGACAAAGCCATTGTGTGTGTGACCCATCACTTGGGTTGCCACCCTCCATGCAGGTCAAACAACAAATATATACACTGCAAAAACCTTATTTATAACTTAAAGTGTTCTATATGTTCCATCTTATAAAGTGCATTGTATATATTCATTACATGCAGTATCAACAATAATAATCAGTTTGTACAATCTAATAGCTACCAGTCAATTTACATCCTTTTTACACAATCAACCCCAACGGGAGTTTCTAGAATTGTACACCCGC